AGAAGAGATACTTTTTGATGGTGTTTCAGGTGTTTGTGGATCACCGTGGGGATTTCACAGACAACATGGAATGATCTGGAAAGGTGCATGCATTTTCTGGAGCACTGGCCTGTACAGAAAGCTGCAGACAAGAATTTCTTTCCAGACACAAGATTACAGAGGAGGATGTGAAAATACTCATAATAATTCTGCGAGACCTGACTTGTCCCCTTACAGCCTTGGCTCATGAAACCTTACACAGGGCACCTGGACATCAGAAAGGGGTGTTTTAACAACAGGCTAAACAGGTGCTGCATGGTGGTGGCCTATGCCTTTGGCAGACTGAAGGGGAGATGGAAGTGTCTCTAGGGCAGGCTAGACCTTATGGAGGATAATATCCCCCCATGGTTATAGCCACTTGCTGCACTTGGCATAATTTGTGTGACTTTAAGGGTGAAATGTTTGCTCAGGGGTAGAGCACTGAGACACAGTGGTTGGCTGCAGAGTTTGAGCAGTAAGATACAGGGCTGTCACAGGAGCCAAGAGGGTCGCTATTAACATCAGGGTGGCTTTCAGGAAACATTTTAACAATGAGGGGCACTAACATATTTCTGTTTTCAAGTTGCTTCCCTGCTGCATGCCATGTAACACATATCCATGCAAGAAAAAGCTTGAACAGCCTGTACCTTAGAGCAAACTGATTGCTATGTGAATCTGTGGAACACAAAATAAAAACATTGTACTGTTATAAAACTTGACCTTTATGGATCATGGTAAGGCACAATGACACATACCAAAGCACATATTTGCTATTAAGGAAAGGTCTTGGAAAGGATAAAACCTCACAGTTGCGTATAGGTCCAGCTATCATTGTCAAAGTTGTGAGAAGGGGGTGGAATGTATGAGAAACTGAAGACTCCCAGAGAGTGAAAAGGAATGTGTGAGCACTGCTGAACAATGAATTGTACATGTGCTTCAGAGGAGGTTGACCCCAGATCTGCTCACTCTAAAGCTTTATTAAAAAAATTAAGATTCTCCGTTTGCAGTGGTGTCCCAAGCAAATACTTGATTCTCTTTCTGTCTTGACTTTCCATTTCCCAGCACTTATCCTCTGCGGAGGAGTGTCGTACCACCTCCCTAACCATATCTTCTCTGGTGCATCTTGGCCTCTTTCTTATCTACCAGAGCCATTTTGCTGATGTGCATGTGTCAAACCTCAAAGCACAATGCACAGAAGAGGTATTGTTAAATTCCAGCTTAACTTTGAAACATTTCACTTACAAACACCTTTTGCAACATACCAATCACTTTCTCACTGACCCTTAAGAGGCACAGCTCTCTGCAAGCACTATAAGCATGCTGAAGCAAAATGCAGGACAATGTAGCACTTTAAAGACTAAAAAGATGGTAGTCTTTAAAGTGCTACATTGTCCTGCATTTTGCTTCAGCTACCCCAGACTAACACGCTACATTTCTATCACTATAAGCATGGTGAGTGTTGGGGTAGGTGGTGTATATGTATCTTCTTTTGTTCATGTACAATCCTTGCAGGGCTTGTGGTGCAGTTGCAGAGAATTCATTCTAAAATTATCCCACACTTCTCCCCAGGCAGGTATCACTCTAGCAGACATCTCACAACTGAGGGCAAGAAGAGAAACCGGGGCTCAACTACTGGATGCTTGTGGCTTTTTCCCTGCTTCATGTGCTGCTCTGGTGCCGGCACAAGTGACTGCAGAATGATGCGGGACAGGGTAGAGGCTAAAACCTCGCTATAAGTCCAAGATACATTCCAAAAAACCTAGATGTATGGCAAAACAACCTGAAAGCGGGGAATTTTATTCCCGCAGCTGACTTCCATTTGTGCAAATTGGTGGGGCTTTTTGCATGACTTAAGAGCGGGAAATGGGAGTACTTATAATGCATCAGTTCCTACAAGCGCCAATGACATTAGCGTAGGACAGATGTATACCAGGGCGACTTATAGCAGGAACACCCTGTAATATAATGGGGAAGGAACAAAACTGCACTGCCATAGAATCTGAGGCAGAGGATTAACGAGAACCTCCAGAAAATTTTCCAGAATACTTCTCTGGAGGATTCCATTGAGAGCTCAGAGTGCACCGACACCCTGCTTCGCCATACTGATTAGCTACATGGGGCTCCGTGCAACTCACAGAAACACAACCAAACTTCCACTTTTAAATACATTACACCCACCTCTTCACACCACAGCCACTTACCCTGCATCTCATCTCCTGCTCCCTGGAGAAGAGGTGCTGAGACTAGCTATGCACCTCAGGAGTGGAGAATAGTTCCTGGCTTCCTGCCTCACCGGGTGACCCCGTTGGGAGTTCCACATCCTCATCTAGTTCATCTTCTTCATCTATTATTTCATCCTCTGAATTAGGCCCTCTTTCTGCTGCCTCTGTGCCCGCCAAAGCATCCACTGAGCTTTTGGCAGTGGAGGTGGAGTCACCACCAAGGATAATGTCCAGCTTCTTATAAAAATGGCAGGTCTTAGGTGCGGCCCCAGTGCAAGTTTTCTCCCTCGCTCTATGGTAGCCTGCTTTAGCTCTTTTATCTTCACTCTGCACTGCAGCAGGTTCCACTCTCAGCCCTTTTCACACAAGCACTGAGAAATTTGCCCATTCGTGTTCCAATTCCCATTGGTCACTCACAGCTTGGACTGAACATTCCTCTCTGCACACACTGATCAGATCCAATAGCTCCGCAGTGGTCCAAGTGGGAGAGCACTTGACTTACAATGACAGAAAAATCTCTGCTGCCTCGGGCATATTCAGCAGTAAATTCCAAGAGATATTTTGTCTTAATAACCCCCCTCCCATGGGTAATATTAATAGTTAAATCTTTAAGGAAGCCACTGTGATATAGAATTCTGTAAACGTCACAGGCACATAAGAAAAACATGAAATAATCCCTAGAAAGTCTGCGAACAACAGAAATTAGTTGAATGGTAAACAATGACAGATCCGTTCTAAAGAGTGATCTAGATTTTATGGTAAATTGGGCTCATTTGAACATTATGCATTTTAATACTGCTGCATGCAAAGTGATAGACACAGGACCCGAGAAAATAGTTTCATTTGCAGGATCAGGGAGTGTCTTTTGGAGACCCAAGGCTTAGAGGATAACCAGATGACCATGAGTATGACATATAGCTAAGAGAGCAAATGCTATTCTTGGATATTTAAGGAGATGTTATTTTAAGTGAACACAGTATTAGCAAGATCATTACTGGAATGTAGTATTCAGTTTTGGTGTCTTACTTCAAAAAGAATATTAAGAAACAGGAAAAGCTTCAGAAAAGGCCTAAAAGAATGATTTTTGAGGTTTGAAACATCTCGGGGGGGGGGGGCTGATCCATTGAATTTTTCCAAGAGATGGCTGAGAGGTGATTCATCATTGTAAGTATACATGAAGAAATGATATTTAATATAGAGCTATGATCTGGCAGACAGTCAAATAACAGGATTCAATTATTGGAAGATGAAGCTAGACAAATTTAGACTGGAAATGTGGTGTACATTTTTAACAGTGAGGGTTACTATTGGAATAATTTATCTCAGGAAATGCTGGATTTTCCATCATTGAAAGACTTTAAATTAAGACTTCAGATATGCTACAAATCAAAGGAAGTTAAGGGCTCAATGCAGAAGCTTCCTAGTGAAATTCCATGGCATGTGTAAGACAGGTGAACTGAGCAGATGATTATAATGGCCTTAACATCTACAAAGATATGTGAACTTTTTAAAAATTTCAATTAATAATTATAAAATACAAATTATTTAGCATGCTGATCTGTACTGTGGGTTTAAAGAGATTGCAGATCTGTCAAAATCCTTCCCACTCTTTCACTTTTTTAAATGGAAGAATTTTAAAGAATCACACTTATGATTTTACTGTCTCCCAGCAGTGTTTTCCCTGAGGATCAACACTCAATGAAACTGGGACTAGTCAGCATCTAATTACTAGCATATATATGATTCACTGCCAAGACCAGATAAGCATTAGAGTTGCCGTCCAGAATTTGAGCTTTCTGTTTGGGAAATAAATTGAGACAATATAAATGAGAAAATAGAAATGTCCGGTATTTTTTAAATAAGATGTACTGTAATGTCGATTGTAATGTAATGTCGATCGTGTCCGGTATTTTTGTTAAAACCATCTGGCAACCCTGATAAGCATTCTAAATCCATCATAGACACAACATACAACCTTTGCCATATAATAAATGTATAATATAAAAGCCTTGTATTAATTGGGCTAACTATTTCATGGCTACTAAGTCTTCCTGCCTATCTTAAGGTTTTATACTGCTGTCCCTCTTCATGATATCGGAGGGCCATTCATGAGACATACGTTGCGAATAGAGAGTCCTTAATGGATTTCATAGAATATATTCTGTGCAGAATAGGAATTATTTTGTTGGCTGATTTTTGGTTTGGTTAGCTTGTTGAATTTCTTTGTTTTTAGTTTTTCTATTGGTACTGGGGCGATGGAGCTGCTAACATCAGAGATGGAATGGCATTCTGCAGGAAAGGTGGAAAGGCTCCATCATTTACTTTCTGTTTCTTAAATATTCTGACATCCTCTGAAAGTTGTAAATTACTATTATAAGGCAGTAGTTGTGTTGTAGTTACATATATACATATTCCCACCCATATATATTTTAGAAGATTTGTGGAAAAAATAATAAAGACTATTTTAAAAAAATAGTGCAGTAGCATCCATACGTGGGATTTCAGGCACTATCACACACAAGTCCATATTTTGTTGCTGGGATGCTGCATAGTAATGTTGTAAGTAAAATGGGGACAGAGTGAGGGTATGTCTACATTGCCCATGTTACAGTAATGCCACTGCAATACTGTGGTGTAGGCAGCGTAGTCACTTTTTAGTGCCAGGGGAGTGATCTCCCTACGATTAAAAAACGCCAACCCTGAAAAAGCAGGTGTAGCTTTATCTTGGGGAGCACATAAAGCACTCTCCACACTGGCATTTTTCAGCTCAGTTATTAGCACTCAGTGGGATTTTTTTTTACACCCTTGGACAACTCAAGTTTGAGGGCTGAAAGTTGCAATGTAGACACAGCCTGAGAGCGGAAGATGGCAGAAGGAAGAGGGGAAGAAAAGAGGCATGTAAACCAAAGGGTAAATATCTATACAGGAGGAGGAGCAGACAGAGAACTTGAGCCATAATTAACAACTTGATGGTTATTACAGGGATGATGATTACTGTTCTGTGTTTGTACATCAGCTAGCACAAGGGAGTCCTGGTCAATGAGTAGGGCGGAGAGCCCAGGCTGGACAATGGCAGTGGAACCAGAATTTGGCACCCCTGCCGGGGGTAGAAGCCCTGCTAAGGCATCAGCAGTTGGGCCGGCATCCAGATCAGCAGCAGCAGGTCAGGCAGCCCTGGGGGGGCTGGGAGCCGCCAGTGGGACCAGTGGTTGGCTATCCAGCCAGACTGGCAGCAGTGATCCCAGCCAGGCCAGAGTTGTGGAGTGCCAGTGTTGATCACCCCTGAGCCGGTAAACTCTCATTCATGACTGGTCAGGTCCTGAGGATGCCAGACAAGGGAGGTCCAATCTGCATATGAAAAAAAATGAAACCCAACTCCTATTTGTCTTCATATGCAAAAGAGGCAGCACAGTGCAAAACACTGAGAATGAAACTCATGAGTTCTAAATGCACCTCTGCCATTTATGTGGCACCAGGTAAGGCCCTTCATCCCTCTACTCCTTAGGGTAGGTCTATCCTACAGTATGCAAATTCAATCTAAACTAGCCTAAAATATGTTTTTCAGACTAAGTCCATGTCAACATTTCTGTCAATCTTTTGACACATTTAGGAGAGAAACTACCTGTGGAAACAGCAACAAAACTATTATTGTCATACTGAACTGTTCCTGCATTATTCCAGAGTCTTGCTCTCCCAAATATTAAAGGAATACCAAAGCTGCAATATAAATGTATTATTAAAGATGAAAGCAATTTCTGTCTCTGCAGTGCAAAAAAAGACTTTTCTTCTATTTGATTTTTTTTCCGGAGCTGTTGTCATTGGTTTGTGCCAGTCAGCCACTTCATTTAGTATTTCAGCATGAGACTAGAACAGCAATAAATAGAGCAGAGCAAGCGGTATATTAACCCTTCAATGCATATGCTCAGTCTAATATGTTTTGGCTGAACAGCAAATCAAATTGCCCTACTGATCTATCTCAAATTAGTCTGCAGCAGACTTGCAGCCCGTAGTGCGCTTCAGGATGAGATGTACCTTAATTATTTTTTAGTTAGATTACTAAACAGAGAAGCAAAACAGAACTAAGAGGAGTGGCACCGAATAAACAATGTTTTGTACTGTAGGGATTCATATCCCATATGTAAATCACCAAGAGAAATATTTCCATCTATATACACATTTTAGAGTGCTTCTGTCTGCCCGTGAGTCTGTCTGTGCATCTGTGAGGTCGTTTGTCCAAGAACTCCTTCTAAACAGTAAGAGCTAGGACCACCAAATTTGGTAGGCAGCTTCCTCTTGCCCTAACTTACAGCAATATCAAAATTTGGTTGTGCCTGGAAAATGGGAAGTGCCAGGAATGGGACTGTTTTCCATTATATGAAAAGGGAGGGGACAGGGAAAGGGGGAATATGAAAGGGAGAGAGAGAGAAGGGTTGCAATACTGATAGTGGCCACTGGGAACAGCTGCAGCACCAAGAGAACAGCAAGCTGTAGGGCGAGGGCTAAGCCATCTTGCTTGTCTCCAGACTGGGTAAGTAGCCCTCTACCCCTCCCCTCCCAGTCCCAAACCCTGCCAGAGGAGGGAACAACCTCCAGAGCCTCATTATTCCAGACAGCCTACAGGCTGTGGCAGAGGGGAAGCATTGGACAGGGGACAGCCCCTGGAGCCTGGTGTCGTGTCTCCCCTCTCCCCTCCCAAGATAGCCTGCAGGCCACAGGGGGACTGCTGGAAGGAGTAGCACCCTGCAGAGCCCTGTTCTCCCAGACAGCCTGCAGGACTCAGGGGGAGCAGCAGCCCCCAAAGTCAACAGACAGCTTGAAGGCTGAGGGGGGGGCCATAGCTGCAGGAGGAGGAGGCAAATGCATTACTAGGTCACTGAATCTAATACCAGCACCTATTACAAAATAGATTAATTTTAAATCTTCCACAATTGTGTAGCTTGAAGCAAACTATAGCAGAAAGTTAGTTATATTTTGGTAGGTCGGGAAATGTCCTGACAATTCACTGGAGAGTTTGGCACACATGCATATACACACTCACTCATTTACCTTGCTATAGTATCATTCAAGTCTAAGTATTGGAGTGATTTACAAATCATAACATATACACAATATTCTACATCGGTAAATGATTTAGAACACACTTTTTTGTGCTCTAAATATACTTAAGTATTGTGAGATGGCAAGAGAAAATGAATGAGAATGGATAGGAAATGGGAAGCTCTGGGTAGCATGAGAAAATAATTACAGCACCCTCTCGGGAGAACAGAATTTAAAGCAAATGTAATGAGGTGAAGAATCATTATAATTATTCTTCTGTATTTGTACTGAAGTAGCAACCAGATGGCCAGTCATAATAGGAACTACACTGTGCTGGATGCTGAACAAAACACAGGAATAAGTTAGTCTTCAAGATCCCCTTTGGATCCTAAGAGAGAAATGGGCAGGAAGCTGCTGAAGATTTTTGATGAATTTAAGAGGCAATACACCATTACTTACATATGAATGCCAAGAACTGTTCAGGATGGAACAGGGAGAACTAACTAGAAACAATGGCTGAAGAGCAAGGAAAAAATTAAGACAGACAACCAACTAGGTGAAATTCAGAATCTTTTTCAAAAAAGAAAAAGGTAGAATCCTCATCAGCATCCAACCTGGCAGCATGAATAGTAACATCTCATGAACAATGCAAAACAGCAACCTGCAAAAGATGTTTCAGTGGTAATAGCAGCACATTTTCAAGATAAGGAAGATGAGAAGAAAGGGTTCAGGTTCAATAATACACCTAGGTTCTTGAAAAGGGGACAAGTGTTTGATTTGAGTCAGAGAGAGATGTGGTGTTGCAGTTTTGGCCTATAAGGCTTTCCTCAGATTAAATATTAATTTTGACTAAGACGAGCCTGAGGTTGTTATGGCAGATTTGGGAGTTGATAAGACTGAGGCAGGCAGAGCTGAACAATGAATTGTGAATATATGCAGAGTAAGGATACCCCAACTAAAATTCAGAAAAGAGATCAGTAAGGAGAGGAGAGGAGAAAGAGGGGTGCTAAA